TAAATTTGTTAAAATATCTGCTGTACAGCATTAGTTTCATTCTATGTTCTGTGAAACAGTGTTGTTTAATATTTGGATCCCATGGCCGTATATAAAGTAAATCCGAAATTTTTATTGCGTTTATGTGTAATTGAAAAGAATTGCTTAATTGTGGATAAGTATGAATGTCGAACACGTGGGTATGAAATGAGATTGTGTGAACGGAAGGACAGATAAGTTTGAATGGCAGTGCAAGAAATCTGGTGAAAATGGACATTTTGTGATCCACCATGCACTCAAGATTCTGTAGAAGATTAGGTAAGTTAGTATTTTTAATTATTTGAGGATAATATTTTTATGCATTGTTCTAAATGTAAGGAGTAAATAAATTAATATGGTATTATTGGAAAATTGTTATTAGCAATGATTTAGTTTAAAGTAATTAGGATTGTAAGCTAATTTTTATTAATTTAATGCATGTGCTTATTTACATTTTAAGTAGTGGGTTGATCTTTACATTATGGTAACTTGGCGATTTTTTGGCGAAAATTTGGCAACCAACTCTCCTACAGCAACCCTCTATTTTTTTTCCCCGCCGCCATTTTGTCTTCACGAAGTAAAGACATGTTTCTTTTCTTTTTATCTACTGAACACTTCTTCCAACAATCTACTAGCCGAATTACACTTATGCTAGAAATTTTATCAAACAAAACTGCTTAATCATGACAAATATTCACTGCAAAATTGGGAAAAAGTGCACAATACCATACTCTTACGCGTTTTTCAAAATAACACATACACATAAACCATGTACACGCCGACTTATTTTTACTTAAAGAAACATCCCAGAATTGCACAAAAATGGCATTGCGCACACCTTCACTTATCCATGTACACTGCTTTTTTCTCATAAATTAGAAAAATTTCACGAAAATACATGACAATTTTCTCAATCTTTAAACCCGGTAAAAAGAACATATATGAAATTACCTGATGCGAAAAAATATTCACCCTTTACAATATGAACATTTCCACATATAAAATAAATAAAATATCCAAAACTTTACCTCTAAATCATCTATTACATTTACACGTCACCACGAATTCATACCGCAAGCATTACAAATACTTAGTATCAAATATTTAAATTATTTCCATGCACGTTTATTTCAATTTAAACGTATACCAAATTCCTACAAACATAAAATTCACAAAATAACTATCATTTAATTAAAATATCACTAAACCATGTACACGTCGACTTATTTTTACTTAAAATAACATCCCAGAATTGCACAAAAATGGCATTGCATCTTTAAACCCGGTAAAAAGAACATATATGAAATTACCTGATCGCGAAAAAGTATTTACCCTTTCCAATTATGAACATTTCCACATATAAAATAAATAAAATATCCAAAAACTTTTACCTCTAAATCATCTATTACATTATACATGTCACCAACGAATTCATACCGCAAGCATTACAAATACTTAGTATAAAATATTTAAATTATTTCCATGCACGTTTACTTCAACTTAAACGTATACCAAATTCCTACAAACATAAAATTCACAAAATAACTATCATTTAATTAAAATATCACTAAACCATGTACACGTCGACTTATTTTTACTTAAAAAAAATCCCAGAATTGCACAAAAATGGCATTGCGCACACTCTTCACTACATCCATGTACACTGCTTTTTTCTCATAAATTAGAAAAATTTCACGAAAATACATGACAATTTTCTCAATCTTTAAACCCGCTAAAAAGAACATATATGAAATTACCTGATAACGTATACTAAATTCCTACAAACATAAAATTCACAAAATAACTATCATTTAATTAAAATATAATTAAATTCAAAAACACTACTTGAAATATAAATGAGCACATACATTAAATTAATAAAAATTACCTTACAATCCTAATTACTTTAAACTAAATCATTGCTAATAACAATTTTCCCAATAATACCAAATTCCTTTACTTACACCTTACATTTAGAACAATGCATAAAAATAATATCCTCAAATAAAAAATACTAACTTACCTAATCTTCTTCAGAATCTTGATTACGTGTCGATAAACTTTTCTTTAGTTACGGCCATGGGATCCAAAAATTCACGAACACTGTTTCACACAACACAGAATAAACCATACAAAATTTCCAGATTTTTTCCCGATTTTCCCCCCTTTCCGATTCAAGGAACCGTAATTCGTCCATTAATATCACATGACATATCCCAATTATCTCTCATTCCCTCACACAAAATAATGCGTAATCGGAACGAGTACTGCTACATATTTCCAAAGTCCAGTAGTAACCTTTATCGCCTCCAAATGTCGCCAAACTACCAGTTACCATATTTGTAAAGATCAACCAAGTAGTGTTTTTTAATTTAATTTATTTAATTTAATGATTTGAGAGTTATATGTTTATAGTATTTTGGAAATGTTTGAGGAGAGTAAATGTGCATGGAAAGTATTTAAGTATTTGACACTAGTATTGGAACCATTTTTAATGTTGCGTTAGAAATTGGCAGTGAGGTTTATACAGATAATTGAGAGAAAAGTTTTTGGATATTTTATTTATTTTATACGTGCAAATGTTCATCCTTGGAAAGGGATATACTTTTTCGCGATCAGGTAATTTCCTTTTTACGAATTTAAAGATTCACAAATTTTTCATTTTCGTGAAATTTTTCTAATTATGAAAAAAAGCAGTGTACATGGATATAGTGAAGAGTGTGCGCAATGCATTTTTGTGCATTCTGGGAGTGTTTTAAGTAAAAATAAGTCAACGTGTTCATGGTTTAATTATATTTAATTAAATGATAGGAAGCACTTCCCGCAGAGAACCCGGAAAATGTAAACATCGCCAACGTCGGCGATAATAGTTCAAACCTGGTAACCTATTGGATTCTTCGTATTCGCTTGTTTGAAGGTGCAACCATTCCTCTTGCGCTCATTTTGTTGAATTATCACTATTGTTGTTCGCATTTGGAGAGTTATAGTCTTCTTCTCTTATTTATTATTATTTTTTCTGATTTTCCACTTTATTTTTCTAAATTTTTAACAACGAATAGATAGAATTATTTCGTATAATTAAAGAAGTTTCGCGATAGATGCCGGCTCTCGGCTCCAATTTTTATGGCATAAAATTTTAACAAGATACTATATTGTTAATGCTTTCTAACATAACCTTTCTGAGGATGGCAGGTGTGACATAAAACTGATTAAATTAAAATAAAAAATTATTGATTATCTAAGACGACAGAGTAGTTGATGCATCCCATGTCATCGAAATTAGAAAACCACTGCTGGTGTAAGGAAACAGTTCAAATAACTCTGAAAATAATAAAATGTATAAAATCTAGTTTATTAACAATGATACTAAAAAATTTGATTACTGTTTAAGGTTATTGTATTGTGAAATACATTATAAACAAGACAGGTTTATTTCACTTTAAACGGTTAGTTTACATTGCATGCTTATATCTGTGAATTTTACTACCATATGCGTAATATATTGTTTTGTCTGCTAACTTGAATGTACAGCACTAAAAATCATGTTTAGGCTCCGCTTCCCTTGGCGAGTTAAAAATGCATTGGCGCCACGGGTTCTCTGCGGATGAAACCCAATGATAGTTATTTTGTGAATTAATGTTTGTAGCAATTTGGTATAAGTTTCAGTGGAGTACACGTGCATGAAATAATTAATATTTGAGCTAATATTTGTAACCATTTTTTATGTTTTTATAGATTCGTTGTGACGTTATAATATAATTTAGATGTAAAATTTTTGATATTTTATTTATTATACGTGCAAATGTCATCTTTGGAAACGGTACACACTTTTTCGCGATCAGGTAATTTCATATATGTCTTTTTACCGACTTTAAAAATTCACAAAATTTTCAGCATTTTCGTGCATTTTTGTTAATTTATGAGAAAATAGCAGTTTAGATGGATAAAGTCAAGAGTGTGCACAATGCCATTTTTGTGCAATTCTGAGATTTTTTTAAGTAAAATAAGTCGACGGTATTGGTTACTGTATGTCGATTTGAAAACGAGGCAAGGCGTTGCTTCTGCCTTTTTCCCAATTTGCAGTTAAATTTGTCTATTAATCAGTTTTGTTCATAAAATTTCTAGCATAAGTGTAATTCGGCTAGTATATGTTGAAATTGTGAGTAATAAAAAAAGAAAAATGTCTTTACTGCGGAACAAATGGGGCGGGAAAAAAAAAAAGAGATTTGCTGTAGCAAGTTGGTCGCCAAAAAAAACATCAATTTCATAATCCAAAGATCAACCAAAAAATACAAGATGCTACACACATAAAGATACTAATATGAATAGTTACCTTATAAACCTGGAAACATATTAATGGGAAATTTAAGAGTAATTTGGTTTCGAAGAGTCACTTAAAACAAGTTTTTTTTTTGAATCTGAAGAGATAAACAAAAAAAAAAAAAAAAAAAAAAAAAAAAAAGAAGTCCTATACAAAAATTCAATAAAATTCATCAGACATAGCAACAGAAATAAATAGTTAATTTTTAACCCACTGAAAACAAAATTTTAAGGAAAAAAAAACTACATGAGGAAATGAGGGCATTTTTGTACATTAAGACCTTACAAAAAAATGGGTCTTTAATTTACAAACAATATATGAAATATTTGTTTATATTTTAAAAGAGGAAAATATTTTTAAATTGAAGATCCAAGTTTTAATTGCTACGAGATATTGATGTATTTATAGTTCTATGTTAAAAAATAAGAGAAAAAAAAACCACGTAAATTTGAGAGTTTTGAAGGAAAAATGCAATTAAAAGAACATAAAATCTCTTATCTATTATAGATTACCACGCTCAAAGAACGAACAATTTTTCAAATCTTAAGACGTTTTAGCTATTTGTTATAATTTTAAGGTAAGCTGTAGGATATGATAATATAGAAACAATATGAAAATACATCCATATCACAACTCCTAAGAAATTACAAGTAATTTTTACCAGGCACTTTAAACAATATTCTTGACACGCAGGCAGCCATTTTTAAGCACGTGATATTAAGAGTTTTTCAGCCACTTCTTCTTCTCAATTCCTCAAAATAGTAAACACTTGCAATGTCACCTTCCGAAGAAGAAATAAACAAATACAAAGCATTTAAAAGTGATACTAAACACCTTATTTCGTAAAAATAGTAGGCCCACCAGCGGCCGAGCGGTAAAGTGCTGAACACTGGTAGTTCGGTCCGAGGTTCGAATCCCGCGAACGGGCTGGCTGCTGCATGGGTGTTTTCGTGGTTTTCCCCATGTGAAACGTGTATACGAGCCAGTTTCCCTTAGAAAGTCCTCCACGAAAGGCAACCCTCCTCTTAGGCAGATAGCCCTTGTGTGCTCTGCCATAATTAAATACACCAACACCATTCCGTAAAAATAGTAACAAAAATTAATAAAGAAAGTTTTCTCTTTATGCATACTTTCTTAGCTCTCTCTTTGTACTAAATATATTTGAAAAAAATTAGATATTAAATTAAAAAATAAGGATGAAATTTAAAAAAAAGTTACCACAAAATTAATCGGGCATTTTCATAATTTCTAATTAAAATCTGCAATAAATAGAAAAAGAAATTTTATGGAATTAGTTTGGGTAAAGAAGCTAGGTCAAAATCTAAAAATCGGTTGCGTTTATAATTCCAATTTCCTTTTCAGAAAATATTCGTTAATTTTAATGTTTTCTTGCAATGGCTCGGTCACGAAAGGAAACGTCGTTAAAAACACTTCAGATTAGTCATTAATTTGCATCAAAAGAAAGGAAAAATCTCTCAGAGAAATTGCCTGTATAGTCTTTGATATTATAAAGCGTTATAAGAAACAAAATTGTATTCAACCCCTCTGCCCCACACTTTCACGTTCACTCGTTTCGAGACTAACGAGGAAATTTTCGTCGCAAGACCCACAATGGGATTACTTTAGGTTACTGAGAAGCACTGTCTAGAGCAGTAGAAACCGAGTATAATCACCTGTATATCAAGGTATCATCAGCACGAAAACTTTAATATACAAAATAGTTTTATTTACTCTATTTTATAAGTGTCCAGAGGAAATTAAGGCAACACTCCAATCGCCAGATCTTAATTCTATTGAACATATATGGCAGGAGCTAGAATCCCAAATTCACACACAGATCGTATTTTATTCTCGAGTGTCAAGATGTAGAAACATCTTTTTACTCGACTTCTGATAAAGATCGGGAGGGGGAAATCTAAGTATATCTTCTCGGCAGTTCGAGAGAAGTGGCACAAAATAATTGCAAAAATAAAATAAAAAAATAAAAAAAAAATAATAATAATAATAAAAAAAAACTTGCCAATGCCCAAAAGATTAAATGAAGTGATTCAGTGTAAAGGTAATACCATAAGATATTCGGAAGCTGTTCTCCGAACCTTATCCAGATATTAAAATGAAAAAACAATGTAAGATTTTTGTCATTTTTGGCTGTTACTAAAAGTGTCCGATTAATATTGTGAGAACATTGATATTGATTTTTGAATTTAATTTTCATCTTTTCGAAAATGTATTTACTATGAAAAAAATGTTATATTTATATATAATCAAATAAAAGACTTTCTTTTTGTTTTAATTTATTTTAGTTTTTATGTTTTTTAGATAATCCAAAATTCAAAGTATCCGATCATTTTTGTGAGCCACTATATTTTAAAATATTCACCTAAGCAATTCTCTACCCAGGAGATAATAAATCTAGTTTGCCCTTTCGATGATTCAACTCAGCGAACAAAACCTCTGGCTCTGACAAAGCATTTTTTAATGTTATCCAGTTTGTGGCATTAAGTTTCGAAAGAAATTGATGAAGTCTAACGTTAGGAATGGAGACAAATAAATAAGCAGAGATTCCTCTAAATTAACATATATTGAAACACAAAATGGCGCAAGTACAGTAAATTCTACATGGTAAAGTAAAACAGTGACAACAACTAAAAAAAAAACGTTGCCAAGAGAAAAATTTAAAAAGCGTGTTGCCACACATGTTGTAAAATACAAATTGGAAATATAATCACAAATAAAAGTTATTTGCAACACTCCCCCTTGATTAAATTTCCCTCAGTCCTACACAGAACCTTTGATTGAACAAGGCTTTCTTTTGCACACTCTTTGTGAACATGTCTGCTGCATTTGAACTGGGAGGCACATACGTAAAGTTTAACAACTTCTTTTCAACCTTTTCTCTCAAGAAAAAATGCCTGAGTTCAATATGTTTGTTGCGCTCTGAAGTGACATGGCTTTTGGCTAAAGAAATGGCACCCTGATTATCAACAAATATGCTTTGTGGAAAGTTTAAAAAATGTTCTCCCACAATTTCTTGAAAAAAATTTTGGAACCACAGTACTTCCTTGGCTGCGTGGCACATTGAGAGGTATTCAGCTTCAACTGTTGACAATGCAGTCGTCTGTTGTTTCTTACTGCTCCATGAGTCAGCTACACCTGCTAGTAGTACCACACAGCCACTAAATGATCATCTGTCAATCTTATCACCAGCCCAATCAGAATCACAAAACACTTCCAAATTCTTTCCTGTCTTTTGGAAAATCAGCTTTAATTCCTTGGTCTGTTTTAGGTAACGAAGGATATGTTGTACACCAGCCCAATGTTCCTTGCTTGGGCAATTATTGAATTGGCTCATGTAAGTAGTAGCAAAAGCTAAATCTGGCCTTGTTCCTCCTGCTAGGTACAAGTCCTCCAAAAGCCTGCCTATATTATTAATGCTCATTCAGCATTCAATATGTTATCCTTAGTGGCTGTTGTATATTTCATACCTGGATCTAATGGTGTTGATGCTCCTTTAGCATCTTGCATATTAGGTTGTGTTCCAAACGCTCACTAGGCATAGACACTTTGGCAAGAGTACACAGCCATCTTCCTTTCTGCTTGAAAGATCCTGGATTGAAAGAAGGTGATGTATTTCTCCCAAGTCCTTGATTTTAAATGTAGGCTACAATATTGTCCTTAAATTCCTGAATGATGAAATTCCTTTGCTGCACATTACAAGGAGATCATCCACATACACACCTACGAATTAACTTCTTTTCTTTATTGAAGTAAACACAAGGATCTGCTCTGGAATCCTTGTTTAAGTTCGCTGATTCATTCAGAAATTCATCGAGACACATATTCCACACTCTTCCCAGACTGATGAAGTCCATAAAGGCTTCTCTTTAGCAAGCAAACTTCTCGCTATGTGTTTTCTGGTGCAGACTCACTGGGTGGCTGTTTCCATGAGCATTGTCTCACTCAATTTTCCATTTAAATAGGATGCAGTAATTATCCAGTTTGATGAACCTACCAGTCTTGCTCAACTGAGAATATTAATAAAATTTTAATTGAATTTTGTTTTTGTTACAGGAGAAAACATCTCTTTGTAGTCAATTCCTTCGAACTTGGGTGTAGCCACGAGCAACTAAACGAGCTTTATGTCTTTCCACTTGTCCATCTTTGTTAAGTTTTCTCTTGAAGACCCACTAACATTTCACAACTTTCCTTCCCTCTGGCCTAGGCACTATGTCCCAAGTTTCATTTCGTTTTAAAATTTTCCAACTCTTCTTCCATGGCTAACTTCCATTTTTCTGCATCTGGACTAATTAATGCCTCTTCTAAAGTTTCAGGATCATTCTGGAAAGCTTTCTTTCTTGGGTGTTGAGCCTTCATATTTCTGTTTCTCGGATTGTCAGCTGCACTGCATTCCACTTGTAATTCCATTTTATTTCTGGAGGATTTTCTTCATAAATCTCTGAATTTTCCATGATATAATCCTTTGTCCATTTAGGCGCTGAAATTTGTCTTCTGGGTCGAGTCTCCTTTTCTGGTATATCCTCCACCTCCTTCTTTTACTGTTGAGGACCTTCGTCTATTACTTTATTTTCAACTTCAGCATCTTGAGATGAATTTCTTCCAGAAACTTGTTGTGGGTGCAATGTTATAATGTTTCCAGTCATGGAAGGTTTCTCTTCAAATATGACATCTCGGCAACAGATTACTGTACTGGTTTCTTTGATATAAATGCGGTACCTTTCATCTCCATCATACCAAGGCCAACTAGATATCTACAGGCCTGCTCCACCGATTTGTGACGCCACAATCGAAGGCGATCGTTCCCACGGTAGACGCAGCCGACTGTTTCATTTATGTAGTGCGCAGCGTTTTATTTCCAACACAAAAGTCAAGTCAAATTAATTTTTACAACTAATATTTCGAATTTTAGGAATAATAACGTACTATGTTATATCCTAATGATATTTAAATACTAAATACCGATTTATTAAACAGAAAATAAAAATAAGATTTGAGTGATATTGTAAATTTAGCAGAGCTGATTTAAATTAAACTGAAACATATCTGAACTTTTATACGGAAATAAAATGAGCACAAAAATTATTTATAAAAATTATACGGCATGATAATAGCAATGAAAATATAACATATGTAATGAACTAAACATGAGATGTTTTCGTTTTGTAATAAAAAAAAATATGTTAAAGCTCTCAGATGATTTTATATTGCTTAAATTATGAAGACTGATTTATACTGCTTGAATACTAAATAAACACATATAGTATTTCATAATAAAATTAATATCAATTCATTAATTCTTCTAATATATATTGCTTTATAATTGTTTTTTGTGTGCAATGATATTGAAGCAAAATGAACTCTTTCTTTTCTTTATTCCCATAAAGATTTTTCAAGATTCAATCAGAGATCCTAAGATGCTTTTTAATAATAAATACACATGTGGACATTAAGTGAAATACATAAATCTTATTAATACATTAATATATTAAAAGTATATCTGAAGTTTAGTCTACATATTGAAAAAAGATTCATTCTAAAGATGTTTTATAATAAAAACATTACACAGAATATTCAAAAATATATTTCAAGTTCTCTTAAAAAAAGCAAGATCATAACTATGTAATCAATCCCAATGAGCATCATATCATGCTCCAAAAAATTCTTATGAAAGAAAATCTTATTAAAAATACACTCTTAATACA